CGTCGATGTGGAGATCGACGGCCAGGATGTGAGGAGGAGGAGGAGGACGACGGCGAGGCGGAGGAAGAAGTGGTGGTGGATAGCCATAGTCTACGTTTAGAGAGAGAGAGAGTATTACTATTAGAACGCAATGTGACATTGGGGGGATATAATGGACGTGGGTTGCTTATAATTGATGGAGATTGCTTCTTTACTCCAAAGGATCTACTTTTGCTTTTATTGAAATGATTAAAATTACCAATCGGCTATTATTATAGTACTAAGCGTGTACTTAGGGGATATTTAATTTAGAGAAACATAAAATAAAAATCAGTTGTGAGCAGATTTGGATGCAATGGTAAGGGGATCGGTGAAGGATTATTGACTTATGTGGTCAGCCACCATAAGTCATAGTATCGTGTTCTTCGCGTTGACTATCACTGCCGGGCTACCGTAACGAGTGTTCAGTGTTGCGAACGCTCCAAGAGAAGTACGGACGATCTCCGACCACCAACGGACCTACCGTCTAGGCCTGGTTTCTCTATTATACACTCGCCGCCCCACAAAAGCGGCGGAGGGGAGAGAATAATCTGAGAGGAATTTACTCCGTTCCAACAAAATCCATTGTGCTCATCTTCATCTAGACCGTTAACCTGAAAGTTTCACGATGGTTGAAAATGTAAATATACCCGTCAAAAATATTGCTTCCTCATGTCGGTGGAAGAAATCAAACGCACACGTGCCACCGTCGCGTTGGTTGATACTGGTTGACCGAGTTAGCTTCCTGATGCCGCCGCTCGCACGTGTTTGGGGCGACGAGGTCGGGGCGGGGCACGCGCGGGCGGTGACCCCCTCATTATTGCACGCTCGTGTGATTGATTTCCAATCCTTTATACCAAGCCAAAAAAAAAAAAGAAAGTTGCTATTTAAAAAAGAAAGTGCTTTCGTTGAGAGTCGAACTCAAGACCTCCCGCTTACTAAACGGGTGCTCTAACCAACTGAGCTACGAAAGCTGGCGGCCAGTTCGCATAGTAACGCGTATTTGACATTTTAATTTTAGACTCGCACGAATTACCCACTGCGAGCTCACGTGGGCGATTCTTAACCACGAGAAAGCCACATCTCATTCACACGCTCGTAAATCTCCTGCTCCCAACGAAACAGCAAACACCCCCTCACGCGACTCCAGATCCACGTGTCCTCATCCAGTTAGTCAATTCACTGTGCCCCCGGCAACACCCTTCCACAGGATAGAAAAACGTAAAAAAAAAGCTGTCCGAACGTCAAAAGTTTACTTACCCGCCACGCCACCGAGGTCTGGTCACCCTCGTGCGGTGAGGTTACCTTCTTGAGGCTTTTTGTCCGTACAAGTGTGCGGCGTCTTTCTAGAAAAGGCGGAGTTCATTAAAAAAGCAGAACAAGCTTAGCCAATTATAATGAAAATTTTCCATGAAGACAAAAAGTATGAGGATCTTTCACATATAACCCCCACCTTATTAATATTAGAATAATTTTTCAAAACAGGCCGATTTAGCTTTTTATTTTTCAAAATCGACCGTTTTTTTATTTATTTATCAAAATCGACCCGATTTTATGATTAGCAGGTTAATCACTATCCTAAATAGTCGGGGTTGCCAACCCCGACTATTTAGGATAGTGTTAAACCCTAATTAAATGTCTTAAACCCTAAAAATTAATATCCTAAATAGTCGGGGTTGGCAACCCCGACTATTTAGGATAGTGATTAGCCTGCTAATCACAAAACCGACTATTTAGGATAGTGATTAGCCTGCTAATCACAAAACCGGGTCGATTTTGATAAATAAATAAAAAAACTGTCGATTTTGAAAAATAAAAATAAATAAATAAAAAAACTGTCGATTTTGAAAAATAAAAAACGAAATCGGCCTATTTTGAAAAATTGTTCTTATTATTATTTTCCACTTACCCTCTAAATTTTGTTGTTCGCAAATTCACCCGTGGAGAAAATATGCGCGAGGGTACTCTGATAACTGGCTGACTCGCAAAGGTCTTGCAAAAGAGCTTCTTATGGATATGATCTAGTTTAATAATCACCTTCAAAATCTTGTCTAGCTTCAACATTATCTGCTCGTGTTGCCAATGGGATTGAAAGACAGAAAAATGTGAGTTGGCCTTCTCAGTTTTTATGTAGTCGAGAAAATTAGACTGTTTTCGTGATTCGCCATTCCGATAAATCTGTTGAAGACGTGGGTAGAAAAACCTGTTGTGCGCGGCGGCCAAACCGATGGGGTTGCCGAGAACAAATACCGATGCTGAGAGAGAAGACTAAACAATCCAAAATAACGGCACAAACACAAACAAACGAATTTTACGTGGTTCGGCAATTTGCCTACGTCCACGAGGCTTGAAGGGGATGTGTTTTCACTAATAGAGAAGAAGAGTACAAATAGAGATTACAAATCCACAAACTAATCTCTCACACAAAGCTCTCAATCTCTCAAAAAAAACCTAACCAATAGCTCCAGAAAACTCTTTTTTTTTCTGTGCTCCAAATATCCCCAATGCTGCTCACCCGAAACCCTAAATCGTGTTTGATATTTATACCAAACTCAGAACCAAATCAGAACAAGAAACAAAGAAATGGGCCTAACCCAATACGCGGTCGACCGCGACAAACAAAGAACCCATAAAATCAACTGCATGATTCGGTGGTCGACCGCGGCAGCCGACCGCACCCAACTCCAGACTCTCGGGTTTGATTACAGGGTTTAGTGGTCGACCACACCAAGCCCTGAATCATACCCAGGGTTTGTGCACGTATTCGGTCAACCGGCCTAGCACCGCGGTGGACCGAATATGACCAAAACTGTTCCCCTGCTTCCAAAACCATTTCTTCGCCAATTCTACAAAACCCAAATGCGAGAGCAACTGTTGGAGAAGTACATAAATTTGCAATATAAATTATTTGAGGGCATATGTGCAAAGTCCCAAAGGTATATATTGGATTTGTAACATTTTGCATATTTTTGTACGAATTCATTTTTTAGAGCCCATCGTTGTCTTGTCCTCTTCTTCTTTCTCTCACTTTCTCTCTCTCTCTCTTAATCCCCAAAGTAATTGCTCAGCGCTCTCTCTCAAATCTCACCCAATTCAGCTCTCTAGGGTTTCCATTTCTAGGGTTTCATCCCCCTATTCGACCCAAATGGAGTCCAATTCGTGGACCCGATTCACCGCCGCCTCAAAGCGCCACCAATCGACCTTGCAATCGCGGTTTGGTGAGCTGGGTTGGATAAAAATTTGATCTTTGTGGTGAAGTTTGGTTCTTTGGGGTATCTGATTTCGGTTTTCGTTGATAGATCTATACCTAGGGTTTGATGATGTGGATGGAGGAGGGGAGGACGATCTGCGCGCGGAGTTTGCTTGCCCTTTCTGTGCTGAGGACTTTGATATTGTTGGGTTGTGCTGTCATATCGATGAGGAGCATCCTGTGGAAGCTAAAAATGGGGTACTTTCTTGTTTTTTTAGATTTAGCCGAATATTTAGGTTGGAATTTTGTTTTAAGCTGATAAAATGAGGGTGTGATCGATTGATTAGTAAAAATTTGCAGTTTTGGTTGTAGGACAAATGATAATTTTGGATTTTGTTATGAATTTAGATTTGTTTTAGTTAAAAGTTTGGAGGCTGGATTTTCATGTTTATCTTCCTCGAAAGAAAGGTTATTTGAACTATTGCTGGTAATAAGCGATGAATATCACCTTTTTTTATCTGTACTTTAAAAACAAGATACATTGAGAGTTATGATTTGCTGAATAAGAGCATGAGAATCTTGACGCATCCCTAGTAGAAGCTATGATTTCTGATACACCCGTTATTGGCGATTAACATGACTGCATTCAGTTTCATGCATTTGGGATGACAATGGACCGAGCTCTTAACTTCCTTGCATTTCGTTACTAATAGGCTGGTTGCACACAAAACATTACTGAAGTTAGTTGGTCTTTAGGTTACTTTCTAGTGTCCTGAACAGGACACCCGAAGATATCCATACCTTAAAAAATTAGCTGTTGTTTGGTGGAGCAAACATCTGCTAGATGCTAGTGAAAACATCTGCTAGATAATAGTGATGGAACCAAAAAAAGGAAATGTATAGGATTTTAATGGAGATAAATAGGTGTTAGTTGATGCCACATACATATCATTACAAATATGCAAAATCTAGTGGCATGGCAGCATGTACTTATTACAGGCAGGTGCATATATTTACTGTGAAATTGCCATATTTGCTTTAGTATCTAAGTGTTGTCACTACTAGGCACACAGGAGGGATGCTTTCACATGATGC